CAAGGGATCAAGGGATCAAGGGATCAAGGGATCAAGGGATCAAGGGAGACGGTGGGATTAAGGTATTAAGCTCAATGATCTGCCAGGATCATACTGAATGGTGGAGCAGGCTTAAGGAGTGGATTAGCCCTACTCCTGCTTATATCTTCCATATATCTATGCAGAAAGCAGACGATAGTTGCCCTCTTGAACTGCTGCAACCATTTGCTCTAGGAAAACTCACAATGTCATTATGGAAGCAGCTACAGGATTCTGACTCAACAAACGAATTGCAATATATTTCCAAGTCAGGATGGTGAGCGGCTTTTAGGGGAACTTGCAGGTGGTGGTGCTCCAATGGGATAGCTGTTCTTGTCCTTCTAGGTGGTAGTACTCAAAAAAGGTGCTGTCAAAACTGCCTTGGTGAATTTCTGCAATGCATCTTGTAAATGGTATGCGGTGGTGGCAAACAGACATTTGTGGATGTGGTGCCAATTCAGCAGACTGCTTTGTCCTGGATACTGTCAAGCTTCTTGAGGGTTGTTGGAGCTGTAGTCATCCTGGTGAGTGGGAAGCATTCAATCATTCTCCTGACTTGCACTTGTATTTGGTTGACAGACTTTGGGGAGTCAGGAGGTCTGAAATACAAGATTCTGAGCCTCTGACCTGCTTTTGGAGCTACAGTACTTTTGGGTAGTCCAGTCAGTTTCTGGTCAACAGTAATCCCCAAGAAGTTGATAGTGGGGGATTCAGTGATACCAAGAGGTGATGGTTAGATTCTCTTGCTGGAGATGGTCATTGTCTGTTATTGTAGTGGGAATGTTAGTTTTCACGTGTCAGTCCAAATCTGGACATTGCCCAGGCCTTGCTGGATTTGGACATGGATGGCTTCAGTAGGAGTCTTTGTGAATAGTGCAAACATCACCACTTCTGACTTCGTAATGGAGGGAAAAGGTCACAGATGGCTGTCAGTCAAGGAGTATCTATGATGAACTCACTCTTTCTGTCTTGGAGGTGAGAGCACTACCCACTAAGCCAAAACAAAACAAAGTGTTGCACAAGTAAAACTCTTTACTTCGGTTCACCTTGATGCACACAACCAAACAACTAAATCTTTAACAGGTTTATGACAAATCAGTGGCCATTTCCCATTTCTACTGAAATTCTTTTCACTGGCAGAGACCCTGCACAAAACTTTTAATTTGAAATTTATATAAAACAACTTGCTCTCTACAGTTAGTTTCAGAAGCATAATAAATAGCTGTTGTGATAACTCTATTACATCATTATGTACATCTTTCAAGGATGTAGTCCAGCCATTACTGCAGAATGTGTAATAATATAAAGGAAGGCATTCTAACCATATTAAAAGAACTAGGGTGAGCCTAAGCATCCTTTGCTCAAGAATGAGGCCTCTGTGCAAGAGCTTCAACTTCAATTCTATCTGAGATAGTTAGTGAAAACATTCTTGCACTTATAAATATGAAGGGGACCAAAAGATTGTGGGTTCAAGTTCCAAAAGAGGAACTTGAGCCAAAGTCTAAGGAGACATTCCAGTGCAACATTGAATAGGTGCAAAATTGTTGATGTCATTTTTTCCAACTGGAAAGTGATGTTCATTAGTCTGCCTCATTGAGGTGCACATAAAAGGTCCCAAAGATACTATTTCAACATTAGGTACTATTATCTGGTTATCACATTGCTCTCTGGGGAACCTGCGCACCCAAATGCAAAAAAAAAGACATCTTTGTGTGCAAAGCACTCTGGGATATCCACTATAGAAGGCACTGTATTAAAAAAATTCATTGTTTCTTCCACATTACTCTCATTTCTACAGTCACCCAGCCCAAATAAACATCCGTAAAATTTACTGTACTTTTGTATACATAGATTAAGTAGAAAAATACATTGTTTGCACTATAATTGTATCAGCATAAGCTGATAGAAAGTAGAGGAAGAGCAAAATTATTCATTCATTCTGGCACAGTCGTATAAGTTTATAGTTTCAATGTCTTTTGTTGGCTATGAGCTGCAGAATGAGAACATATGCGTTTGATTCTGTGGTGTTTGGCTTGTACAAATAGCAGCTGTTCACCCTTGATCATGCTGACAAGCTGGTTTGCTAATATTAGCTAGAGATTAGGGTTAAAAAAAGTCACCCATGCTTCGAATTAATGCTATTTTGTGCCCACAAGTAGGACCCTGGTTTAACGTCTCAGCTGCACCCTCTCTGTGCTGAAATATAGTGTGCCACCTTGTGCACTCAGGCTTCTGGACAGGGGACTGGAACCACGACATTTTGACTCAAAAGACAAAAGTGTGACACAACGAACCATGGCTGAAAACAAATGCTCAAAGTTGTTAGTTACAACCAAATCAGGAAATAGATAGTGCAAAAGATCATAAGGATATCATGGATAACATGGTTATGCCACTGCTATGCATATACATTACCATACACTCAAGTCTTACATACCAGCATTGTCTTCCCATTCCCTGGTGGGCCAAATAGCAGCAATCCCCGAGCAGGAGCTCTGAGTCCAGTGAACAACTTACATAAAGACAAAGGCAGAGGAGAGAAAAAAAAAGATTAGAATACTGACAGAAAAGTGAACTACTTCTCACATTAGACATCAACAACAGAAAAGGTCATTAATGAAAGAAACTCCATTTAAAAACAAAAGTCTTTAACGTAATATGAAAATGGCATCTTGAAACATTGCAGCCAGTGAATTACTTTTAAACTGCAGTCACTGTGTTTTTGTAGGAAAACAAAGTAGTTGATTCGATCACATTTGCTGAGAATTGAGAAGTTGTTGAGGGTGAGGACGAGTTCAGCTAAGCGGATGAGGGTGTCAGTGGAGGGGGACTGGTCGGGCCTGCGGGACAGGAAGAAGCGGAGGGCCTTTAGGCCATCTGTATGGGGAATGCAGATGTATAGGGACTGGACGTCCATGGTAAAGATGGTGTTGGGGACCGGGGAATTGGAAGTTCTGGAGGAGGTTGAGGGCGTGGGTGGTGTCACGGACGTAGGTAGGGAGTTCCTGGACCAAGGGGGAGAAAATGGAGACCTCACTTCCCTCCACCACCAGAGTGAGGACCAGCTCTCAAGAGCAGGTCCTTAGCATGTTTAGTCATTGGAATAGTTCCAAAATACAAAGTGATAGGGCCCAGCAAATAAAAACACACAGAAGCAAAACACAATGAGACCCCTTATCTTACTGGAGTTCTGACTGAATATCATGTATAAACAGAAGATAATCACTAATAAATCCAACTGATTCAGAAGAAACTTCATTACCTAGGGAGGTAAGTACCTAGGTAGCAGTAAAGGGCTCACCTTTGTCCCCCTCCACCCATGCATCAACGAATACCGGTCACGTTCGGATATAGAGCAGTTTTTCTGCCGCCTCCACCTCCGCGCTTACTTCTTCAACCGTGAGCCTAACCCTCCGTCTACTGACTCCTTCTCCCGCCTTCAACACGCCTCCCCCTCCTGGACACCACCCCGAGGCCTCCTACCCTCCCTCGACCTCTTCATCTCCAACTGCCGTCGTGACATCAATCGCCAACCTCTCCACCCCTCTCACCCAATCCAACCTCTCCCCCGCAGAACGTGCAGCCCTCCGCTCCAATCCCAACCTCACCATAAAACCCGAGGACAAGGGAGGCGCAGTTGTAGTATGGCGCACTGACCTCTACATCGCTGAGTCCAGACGCCAACTCTCCGACACCACCTCCTACCGCCCCCTTGATCATGACCCCACCCCCAACCACCAAACCATCATCTCCCAAACCATCCACAACCTCATCACCTCAGGTGACCTTCCACCCACATCCTCCAACCTCATCATTCCCCAACCCTGCAATGCCCGCATCTATCTCCTTCCCAAAATCCACAAAGCTGACTGCCCTGGTCGACCCATTGTCTCCACCTATCTGGACTCCATTTTCTCCCCCTTGGTCCAGGAACTCCCTACCTACGTCCGTGACACCACTCACCCCCTCTACCTCCTCCAGAACTTCCAATTCCCCGGTCCCCAACACCTCATCTTTACCATGGACGTCCAGTTCCTATACACCTGCATTCCCCATACAGATGGCCTAAAGGCCCTCCGCTTCTTCCTGTCCCGCAGGCCCAACCAGTCCCCCTCCACTGACACCCTCATCCGCTTAGCCAAACACGTCCTCACCCTCAACAACTTCTTTCAATTCCTCCCACTTCCTACAGACAAAGGGGGTGGCCATGGGTACCTGCATGGGCCCAAGCTATGCCTGCCTCTTTGTAGGTTACGTGGAACAATCCCTCTTCCGTACCTACTGGCCCTAAACCCCACCTCTTCCTCCGTTACATTGATGACTGTATCGGCGCCGCCTCGTGCTCCCATGAGGAGCTCGAACAGTTCATCCACTTCACCAACACCTTCCACCCCAACGTTAAGTTCACCTGGACCATCTCTAATACCTCTCTCTCCTTCTTGGACCTCTGTCTCCATCTCGGGCAACCACCTAGAAACCGATATCCATTTCAAGCCCACCGACTCCCACAGCTACCTAGAATACACCTCCTCCCACCCACCTTCCTGCAAAAATGCCATCCCCTATTCCCAATTTCTTCGCCTCCGCCGCATCTGCTCCCAGGATGAGGCATTTCACTCCCGTACATCTCAGATGTCCTCTTTTTCAAGGACCGCAACATCCCCCCCTCAGTGGTCGAGAATGCGCTCAACCGCGTCTCTCGCATTTCCCGCAACTCATTCCTCACACCCGCTCCCCGCAATAACAACCAAAACAGAATCCCCCTCGTCCTCACGTACCACCCCACCAACCTCCGGATCCAACGCATCATCCTCCGACACTTCCACCATCTGCAATCCAACCCCACCAAAGACATTTTTCCCTCCCCACCCTTATCTGCTTTCCGGAGGGACCACACTCTGTGACTCCCTTGTCCGCTCCACACTGCCCTCCAGCCCCACCTCACCCGGCACTTTTCCCTGCAACCGCACACCTGCCCCTACACCTCCCCCCTCACCCCTATCCCAGGCCCCAAGAAGACTTTCCACATCAAGCAGATGTTCACCTGCACATCTGCTAATGTGGTATACTGCATCCACTGTTCCCGTTGTGGCCTCCTCTACATTGGGGAAACCAAGCGGAGGCTTGGGGACTGCTTTGCAGAACACCTACGCTCGGTTCGCACTACACAACTGCACCTCCCAGTCGCGAACCATTTCAACTCCCCCTCCCATTCCTCAGACGACATGTCCATCTTGGGCCACCTGCAGTGCCAGAACGACGCTACCCGAAGGTTGCAGAACAGCAACTCATTCCGCTTGGGAACCCTGCGGCCCAACGTGGATTTCACAAGCTTCAAAATCTCCCCTCCTCCGACCGCATCCCAAAACCAGCCCAGCTCGTCCCCGCCTCCCTAACCTGTCCTTCCTCCCATCTATCCCCTCCTCCCACCTCAAGCCCCACCCCCATCTCCTACCTACTAACCTCATCCCACCCCCTTGACCTGTCTGTCCTCCCTGGACTGACTTATCTCCTCCCTACCTCC